TATATATATATATGTTTGTATAATATATATATATATAATATGTTTGTAATGATTATTGATTGTTTATCGAGTTATCTTCGATCAAGAATCACTGATCTTAGAGAGCGTTCACCCAATTCACCTGAATATCAAGATTAAAAAAAAAAAAAATCGAAACTGAACAATATAGTGAAAACGCTTAGATTCAATCTTTTTTAAATAACAACTAATTTTTTTCTATCTTTGAATTTTTACGAAAATATTACGTGTATAATAATAAAATTTATTTTTACAAGATCAATATAGAAATTTGTATATAATGAATCGTACGAATCTTTTTAAAATATTCAACAATCTAAATATTTTATGTTCTAAGTTTTATAGTTGTAATTATGTGCAGCAACGTATTTTATCAGTTATTTTTTTCTATTCTTTTTCTGGAACTTTCTTATCATTTACACTAAATCCTTCGGTTCGTACGGCCCTATGAATACATATATCGTATTACAGCAATTTATCTTAGACACGAATTGCTTTATCGCATTCTTATCGTACAACTTACTATTTCGTACAAAAACTGCTCCTTTTTTCCAAGTTACTCTATTACCAAGGGAAGAGATAAGAAATTATGGAAAAGACTCAAAGATAAGAAGATAAAGCGTTAAAAAGCGTTAATTATATTTCCCATTTTACAAATGAACAAATCTTCCAAAATTCTGTTTCTTTTTTTTAAACTTTTTACTGAAAAAATTATAAAATAAGAGAATTCTTATCATTTATTTAAGAAAAAAAGTTCAAATATCTTAATTAACAGCTTTTAACATAAATCATTAATCAAAGAGAAATATCGATAATATCATTTAGAAAGATTCGAGAGTCGATAGGAAATAAGATCGATCAAAAAAGAATGGCAATATGTTGTAGATGAGATATGTACAATTGCAAGCATTTCGATCAATATGTAAACATCATACTCAATAAGTACCGACCAGCAAATCACACGTGTCAGAGGATGTAATATTATTTCATTATTACTTCATTATTATTTCATTATACAGAAGATATTGACATGTTTCGAAACCATTCACGAGATGACTACACATAAACAGATTGATAAGAATCATTATAAATCTCAAGTTCTGATACATATTCAAAGCAACTAATCTTAATGTAAGAAAATGTCGAAAATATATCGAATATATATCGAATATAATCAAATCGATAATACTATATCATAGTAATATATCATAAATAAATTACAAAGAAAGCTTTGTGTTTATTTATTTTGTTTAAAATATTTCGATGAAAAGTTTTTCATAATATGTAAAAACGCTTACATAAACATTTTACGATATGTTTATAGAAGTAAAATTAATCGATTAATGTCTATATTAATTGTTGAACGTGTACATGTCTATCAAAGTTTAATTTACGAAAATTTTTAAATTGCATAAAATATTTCAATAAAATGTGATTTTAATATATCAGAAACTAAAGACATAAGGGAAACAACGTCAGCAGGAATACCGATAACCCCTAGTATCGATAATTCTTTGCAATTCACTATTGTTCTTTCAAAACACATAACCTTATAAAAGTTTATAAATCACTGTTCTAGCATCATTAAAACTCGATTCTTCTTTTCTTTCCTTTATTTTATTAAAAAATTAAAAAATATATTTTAACTATGAAAATTGATCAACATGAATATATAAAGATATACATGCATAGAAAAAAATATATTTATATTATACATATATTTATCTAGATATTTGTATTCATTCATTATATATTCATTTATGTATAATAAAATTGTGAACCAACTTAAGATTACAAAGTATTATAAATAAATCAACGTAATTTTATAAAAAAATACACTATTTTTGTCAAATTAACTAAAATAGAACATTCTATTAAAAAATATTTTAACATCTTAGAGACACATTTTTCATAATTTGAAATTTCCTTGTTATTACGCCTATGTGCGAAAGGTCATTAACATGCACGTGTTTTCCTTCGGCTCTTTTTTCACGAAATGAGAGTTCTAAAACAAGAGTAAATTAACAGAACGGACCTAGTGTCAATTGACAGTGATGAATAACACCTCTCTCAAAAATTTATAGCTCTTTCTCTAAATAACCATACTTTTTTTTCTATTGACCGTTAGATCTGGAAAATGAGACTACTCAAACTAAATATGAGAATCCACATAATTTACATAATTTTTATTCCCAGATACACTACACCTATTTCGAACCTATATATCCCATGCATATGTGATATATGTAGAAGATATATGAATGCCACTAAATGAAATATTTATTATCCTAAAAATTATCTACGTATGATAATCAACAGTCATTACGTTATATTCATATAAATTTAAATATGTAAAAATTCTCAGCATGCATACAGTCTGCAAAAACAATAAAAAAATTAGTAGAATGTATTAGTAGAATGTATTAGTAGAATTATTAATACATGAATATTATTATTACTGTTAGAATAAATTTAGTAATAAATTTCTACTTGATTCTTTGGGGTCATAACGGTATTTATTTGTATAAACATTCTTCATGACCTAGCATTTATTTAATATTTACAAACGTGACAGAATGATAACAGAAAGTTTTAATAACAACAAACAAGATCTGCAAGTATGAAAATTTAAAAATTTCGTAAACATTTAAAATGAATAAACAGGGCAGGTAACATGGTTTCATCATCCAGGAAGAAACTAATCACGTGCTTCAAATTAATTTCCTTCGTGCAATCGGAACAATCTGCCTCTGACTCTATGTACCTAGATACAAAATACGTAACAAGAAAAGGTTAAATGGAGATTGTACATCGATTGGGAGGTGCGTCTTTAGGGAAGAAGCATATCAAACGATACGTTTATACATTCTTGTGCAATTGCTTGCAAAACGAGGGCCAAGAATAACGAGGAGGACGAAATCGTTATTCTCGGTGATAATCGAGCCGAGAAAGAGGCAAAGATTCGTCTGCTAGTTCTGATCACGTCTTCTGCTAGTTTCTCTCTTGAAAAAGTTGTATGTGGCTCACATGACCCCGCACTACATAGATTCGCGCACGTTACATAACACCGAGGGCCCGGCTTTTGGCTAAGGCGGCATCGTTAAAGGTGTACATTAAAACGGACAGAACATGGTAACCTGATCGAATCATTACATAACGTGATCGGTCATTCGCTGTCTAACCATGAAAGATAAGGAAATGTATAGTTGTCGATCATAAAATCACAGTATACAAACCAGTGCTGGTTCGTCTCTCACTGCCGTTGAGTAGAGGGATTTTCATACTCCCATTTTCCGCGGAGGTCTCTATCTGTGCGCCCAATGTCATCTTTCTTTGACAATCTCTATCAAGCTTTCACACGACTCTAGAAACAAGCACGTTCTTATTATTCACAGTGACACGCACGCACACTTCGTAAAAATTATACCCCAAAAGAACGAGACGTCTCGACTCTTTTCACAAGGCAGCACACTAACTCTGAGGCACACCGAGCCGCTTTTCTTTACTGCACGTGCGTTTCGAACGAAGTACAAAGTCTAATACACATGATTGGTTATCACTTCTAGCAGTTTATCGAATCAGCAAATTTGATTGGTGTTGCCCATCACGTGACCTACCCCTCGTTATTTTTCGAGCGATTATTATTTGTCGTTGCCAGTGTATCAAACGGTGCGGTTCCTTTTGAAGTTGGACGTTATTAGAACGTTCCTTCGTAGGTATTGGCAGAAATGATGATGTTTTTTGGTATCTAACAAAACGGAATTAAAATTACTAGATGTCGGATAACTAACTTTGTGTTAGTATTTGAATAAGGAATTCTCTATACTTTATTTAAGAAAACTATTATACATTTTATAAGAAGATATTTTTTGAAAGAAGAAAGTAAATTAAAAAGAATTGATAGGAGATTAAAGTCTTATCTGTTAAATTTATATTAAACTGTACAAAAGTGAGGTTAAGCGTCTGATAGAATGTCGGCAGAAGAATCTCCAAATTTGCGTTTAGGACCTGATCCTAATGTCACTTATCCGATTCAAGTACAATACTGTGGAAATTGTTCTCTTCCTATTGAGGTAAAACAATCTTGAACGATAGGTATCTGACATTTGTACTGTATGACAAGAAGATAATGCTTAGATTTTTTGAAAATTTAATTCCTATTTGTATTACAGTATTGTGAATATTATCCAGAATATGAAAAATGTAAGCAGTGGCTAGAAAGGAATTTACCAACAGAATTTGAGAAAGTTAAATTAGGTAATTATAATTTTTATGGCATTATTCTCAAATTGGAAATTTTATTATTGTAATCATATAATTTTATTTACTTGTGAGCAGTAGAAGATAATACTACAGAGACAAGTGGTGGTGAAGATGAAAAGAAACGACAAAAACGTGGTGGTAAAGGTATGCTTAAGACAAAGAAAAAGGAAGATGTTCCAAAATTAGTGACGGTCTCTAGAGCACCTAGAGGGAAAAAGAAATCTGTTACAGTTGTCACTGGTCTTAGCACCTTTGGTAATATGACATTTATTTATAGAAATTTTTTTTAAATTGTTTTAAAATAAGATAATTATGCAATTATATAGATGATTAAGCAATCATCTTAACTAAATTAATTGAAACTTAATTTATATTATAGACATAGATCTAAAAGTAGCTGCAAAATTTTTTGGTAGTAAATTTGCATGTGGATCTAGTGTAACCGGAGATGATGAAATAGTTATACAAGGAGATGTAAAAGATGAATTATTTGAAGTAATTCCAGAAAAATGGCCACAAGTAAGAACAATAATTAGCTTTTTGAATAATAAAATAAATAATAAAACTATGATTTTATTTATTTTTAGATTGATGAAGATTCTATAGATGACCTAGGGGATCAGAAAAGATAATGAGTCAACCAAAAGTTTACTTACATAATGTATTTAATATTATATCATTTCCATTTTTGTTTAATATAAATAAAATGTACATAAAGTATAAAAAATGTTTTTCAAAGGTTTGTACAGTTAAAATAGTTTTATAATTATGCTATCCATTTTGTTCATTTTCACCTAAAAAGTTTGCTACTACCTGAAGTAAAGAATTTACTTCATCATCAGTTAAACGATCTTCACTATCTTCTATAATCTAAAAAATATACAGTATACATATAAATATATGTAGTAATACATAGTTATACTTTTATTTGTATTTCATATTACCAGTTGTATTTCAAGAGGTGTTTTAGGACACATATTTAAAAGAGTCAATTTTTCACACTTTGTCAAATTATAAGGTTCTAATGCTTTTAGAAAGCTTCTAATTTTTTCAGGTGTTTGTCTTTTACATGGAGTCTCTTCTAAATATCTTACAGTTTGATATGTTATACTTGCTAATTGATTTTGTTTCATTTTTTGCTTTTTATCTGACTTTATATTTTGCAAAATATTTAAAACTTCATAGTTGCTTAAACACGCTGAGCAATCCTTGAGCCTAAAGTATAAAATTTATTCTGAAAATGTTTAAAATACTCACTAAAATAATTATAAATATAAAGATATAGTTACTTACACTTCCATATTGTATACTTAAAATTATATGCATGTGGTTTTTATATTCTCATTCCAATTCTAATTTTAATGTCTCTTTCTATAACCAACAACCATGATGGGAGATAATGGCTCCATCTACTGTCGCATCCCCCGTAGTGATCGTCATTCACCAAATGCAAGTTCAACATCTTCAATCTCCAATAATCATAGGGACTGCAGCGTAGCTCTAATTGTAAGATAGGTACAATCACTCTGGTATCCACTTTTTGAGTTCCTCACATAAGCATCTGGGGCAGGAGTCATCACCAGAAACTTCATTATGGGTATCTGTTTCCGAGACGAAACGCAAACTCCAATTATCCGAAAACACAACACGATTTCTCTCCTTCACGTTCATCGGAAGTAAACATTTGTATTCTTTAGCTATAGTACAAAAATTTATTACAACATATTGATAAATATACTCTATTAACTATATTTACAATATTTATTTACTATATTTAGTTAAGAAAACAAATATAATACAGTTTGTAAAATATAAGATTTATTTATGAATTCTTTAGCTCAGAGAGCGTTATCTATATGTAAATATGCGCAAAGCGCAAGATTTGAATTTCGCGCTCGATAATTGTTCAATGATCTTTACATGCGACACGCAGTTCTCTAGAATTCTCATTATCTTATAATGCTTTTTATTATTATAATGCTTTTTGAAATGCTAAAAATACTTTATATATATATATATATAAAACAAAGAAATTAATTTGATAATGTAATAAATATATCTATTAATTTTCGTTTTTAATACTTTTGATATATTCCAAGATATATTCTGAACTAACAGAAGTAACGATAGTAAAGAAGAAAAATTCTCTGATGAAATCATGTGTGAAAAAATTAGCAGAATGTAGTCTCAGAGTTTTGAAATCGATTGAGAAGCCATTGAAAGAATATACATATAAATATAAATATGCATCCATTGTAATCACATTTATGAAATAGTAGAATACTAAATACATGAAGATTACACTGGATTATTTGATTCCAATGTGTATATGCGTGTGTATGCTTATGGTCCATGGCTGATTATAGTTATATTTTGAATCTTGCAAGGCTGTAGATTGGTAATTTGTAGCCCCTTTATGGTACTCGATAGTTATAAACGCAAGAAAGAAAATATGCTAATTATATTTATAGTATTATTGATTAGTTATTATTATTCAACATACTCTAACATTTATCGACAGAATTTCTTTATTATATTATAATATTTCAAGAATTTAATATTATTAATGATTTTAATGTACTTACTACATAAAGTAAATTATACGTGACTATCCAATAGTGGAAAATTTTTTTATTTCTATACTAGAATATTATCATACTATACAATATCATGTACATTTAATTTAATATTAATTTTGAACCTCAATGATTTTTTTTATAATTTTTTCAATTTCATATATATATATATATATATATATATATATATATAT